AAGGATTGTTCTAGGCTGACTCCATTCTTATTCGACGACAGTACCATCGAGCTCTTTCACCCTCTCTCCGAGGCCTGCGCTGGCCGGGTCGAACCGGTGCTCGTCCATCCCCGACCGGTCCGATGCTTACCGTCTGTCGCTCGTGATAATCCGGGAATAAACCCACGACCCAGATGGACAGCTACGACGGCAAAGGGGAGAATGGGCTGGAACGAGCCTCGAGCGAAGTCCCGCCCCTCCCCAGTAGCTCCGAGGAGGACGCGAACAAGAAATCCACCAAGCGCGCGCGATGGGCCACCAAGAGAATGACCGCCGCCTCGGGCCTGCGCAAGAGAGTCTCCATCCTCGAACGCGGGCGCCGACAGAACCAGACGGACACCATGGCGAGCGCGACCGCAGGCGTGCCGGAAATCACCGAGGGAGAATCGGGATCGCGCAAAGTTCATTTCAACCTTCCTATTCCGGACGAGGAGCGGGACGAGGAAGGCAATCTCAAGGCCGTCTATCCGAGGAACAAAATCCGCACCGCCATTTACACCCCGCTCACCTTCATCCCCAAGAACCTCTGGCTGCAGTTCCACAACATTGCCAACCTGTACTTCTTGTTCGTCATCATTTTGCAGTGCTTCGAGATTTTCGGGGACGCCGATCCCGGCCTGAGTGCCGTGCCGCTGATCGTCATCGTCGTCGTCACCGCCGTCAAAGATGCCATCGAGGATTGGCGACGAACCGTGTCCGACAACGAACTCAACAACTCTCCAGTGTATCGCTTGACGGATTGGGACAACGTGAACGTGACCGCCGACAATGTTTCCCTCTGGCGTAAGTTCAAAAAGGCTTGCACCCGGGCTGTGGTTACCAGCTATCGAGGCATGAAGCGCCTCTTCCGCAAGAATGGGGCCGACAAAGATGTGGCGGGTGACGTGGAAATGGCGGATGCCAGGCCTTCGATTGAGCCTACCTCGCCGATCGCGATCGAGATGACGGCAGTTTCCCCTACCATGGAGGCCCGTGCTTCTGGCGACTGGCCCGACCCCATGAACGATCACGACCAGCAGGCAAACTCGCCGTGGGCACGGACCAAGGGTAGTGTCTTGAATCCGAACCGGGTAACCCCAGGGAAGGCGCGATTCAAACGCCAACACTGGAAGGATGTCAACGTGGGTGACTTTGTGCGACTATACAATGGTGACCAAATCCCCGCCGACATCGCCATTCTCTCTACCTCCGACCCGGACGGAGCATGTTACGTCGAAACGAAGAACTTGGATGGAGAGACGAATCTCAAGGTGCGCAACGCCTTAAATTGCGGTCGCGTGTTGCGGAATGCTCGAGATTGCGAGAAAGCCGAGTTCACCGTCGAATCGCCGCCCGCGCATGCCAACCTCTACTCCTTCAGCGGTGCTATCTATTGGGATCAGTATGACGAATCCGGGGAGGCCCCGCAGAACCGCGTGGAGCCCATTACGATCAACAACATTCTGCTTCGAGGCTGTAGCTTACAAAACACCGATTGGGTGTTGGGTGTCGTGCTTTTCACCGGACCGGAAACGAAAATTATGCTGAACCAGGGTCTCACGCCAAGCAAACGCCCACAGATGGCGCGCAACATGAACTGGAACGTGGTCTACAACTTTGCCATCCTCTTCATCATGTGTGTGATCTCTGGATTCATCAACGGGTTTGCCTGGGGCCTGGACGATGCTTCACTGACGTTCTTTGAGTACGGCTCCTATGGTGGCACACCTGCCGTTCAAGGTGTAATCGCCTTCTTCGTGGGCGTGGTCCTCTTCCAGAACTTGGTTCCTATCGCCTTGTACATCTCCCTGGAAATTTGCCGTGTCATCCAGGCCCTCTACATCTACTATGATATTCACATGTATTACGAGCGCTTGAAGATGTCCTGTGTGCCCAGGTCTTGGAATATCTCTGATGATATCGGTCAAATCGAGTACATCTTCTCTGACAAGACGGGTACCTTGACGCAGAACGTCATGGAGTTCAAGAAGTGTACCGTCAACGGCGTGCCCTATGGTGAGGCATACACCGAAGCGCAATTGGGCATGCAGCGGCGGCAGGGACTGGTGAATGTGGAGGAGGAAGCTGCTAAGGCTCGTCAGAGAATCAGTGAAGCACGTGTGGAAATGATCCAGCAACTGCGCCAGCTTCATGATAATCCGTACTTGAAGGAGGAGAACTTGACTTTTGTTGCTCCACAGTTCGCCGCTGATCTGGGTGGTGCCTCGGGAGAGGCTCAGCAGCAAGCCACGATAGACTTCATGACTGCATTGGCATTATGTCATACAGTAGTCACGGAGCGTATTCCTGGCGACCCTCCCCAAATTGAGTTCAAGGCACAGTCGCCGGACGAGGCTGCCCTGGTTGCCACGGCCCGGGACTGCGGATTTACCACCCTCGGCCGATCGGGCGAAAGCTTGATCTTGAATATCATGGGTGACGAGCGTAGGTATACTATCTTGAACATCCTGGAATTCAACTCCACCCGTAAACGAATGAGTGTGATCGTGCAGATGCCTGATGGTACTATTCGTTTGCTGTGTAAGGGGGCTGATACCATGATCTACTCCCGCCTAGCCCCCGGCCAACAACGCGAGTTGCGTGATGCAACCACACGCGATCTCGAGACTTTCGCTCAAGAAGGTCTGCGAGTACTTTGCATTGCTGAGCGTACCATTGAACCAGAAGAGTACCGCGAATGGAGTGTCATGCACGACGCCGCCGCCGCCGCGATTGTGGACCGCGAGGAGAAGTTGGAAGAGGTTTCCAATGCTATCGAGCAGAATTTGTATCTCCTTGGAGGTACGGCCATCGAAGATCGCCTGCAGGACGGCGTTCCTGATACCATCTCCCTCCTTGCCGAAGCAGGTATCAAGCTCTGGGTCTTGACCGGTGACAAGATCGAAACTGCCATCAACATCGGTTTCTCCTGCAACCTGCTTAATAACGACATGCAAATGATTGTGTTCGACGCGCCCTCCGATATCGACATGGCCGCCAAGTTGCTGGATAGCAAATTGGAGATCTTCGGTATCACGGGCTCAGATGAGGAGCTGGAGGCCGCTCGCAAGGATCACTCACCGCCTCCGCAGACTCACGCTCTCGTGCTGGACGGTGACACTCTTCGCTTCATGTTGGATGACGCCTTGCGGCAGAAGTTCTTGCTTCTTTGTCGGAAGTGTAAGTCGGTGCTTTGTTGCCGTGTCAGCCCAGCGCAAAAGGCTGCCGTGGTGGAGATGGTTAAGAACGGTTTGAACGTCATGGCTCTGGCTATCGGAGACGGTGCGAACGATGTTTCTATGATCCAGAAAGCCGATGTCGGAGTTGGTATTGCTGGCGAGGAGGGTCGTCAGGCCGTCATGTCGGCCGATTACGCGATCGGACAGTTCCGGTTCTTGCAGCGGTTGATTCTGGTTCATGGACGATGGGCCTATCGCCGTCTAGGTGAGACCACCGCCAACTTTTTCTACAAGGTTAGTCGAAGAATCTGTCTCGTTGTGCTCTGGGGATATCAGTGGACGAAGAGTTGCTGACTATTTGGCAGAACTTGGTCTGGACATTTGCCCTATTTTGGTATTCTATCTACGATAACTTCGACGGAACCTATCTATTCGAATATACGTATATTACCTTGGTCAACGTGGCGTTCACGTCACTGCCAGTCATCTTCATGGGTATTTTTGATCAAGATGTTGACGATCGGGTCTCCATGGCCGTCCCACAACTCTACATGCGTGGTATCGAGCGGAAGGAGTGGACGCAGTTGAAGTTCTGGTGAGTATTACTCCAAGTCCGCTTCTGGTGTATAATGTGCTAACCATTCGTCCAGGATATACATGCTCGATGGATTCTACCAGTCAATTATTTGTTTCTTCATGCCCTATATGTTGTATCAAGTTGCCAATTTCCAAACGGAGAACGGAATGGGCATTGATGACATTTATCGCGTGGGTGTTCTTGTAGCCACCTGTGCCGTGGTTACGAGCAATACCTACGTGATGATGAATATGTATCGCTGGGATTGGTTCTCGACGTTGATCAACGCGATCAGTTCGCTGTTAATCTTCTTCTGGACCGGCATCTATTCGTCCTTTGAATCATCCGCCACCTTTTATGGTGCCGCAAAGCAGGTCTACGGGGCGTTATCCTTCTGGGTCGTGTTTTTGCTGACCGTGGTAATCTGCCTGACCCCGCGCTTCGTCTGCAAATGCATCCAGAAGGTGTACTTCCCCATGGACGTGGACATTATCCGAGAGAAAGTCATTCTCGGCCACTATGACTATCTGAAGCAATACGACGCCTACGTGCCACCGGATGCCGGTAAGCTGGCGGGCTCGTCGGAGAGTGGAGCATCCGCCACTACTTCGGACCCGGAGAACACCCACCAGACCACTGTGCCGCGCCACTATCCGGGTGAAAACAATGTGGACCGCACGGCGAACTCGACGCCGGTGGCGCCCTTGGTGGATAGCCATGGCGCGCCGACCCGCCTCGACAACAGCCAATTCACGAGCGCCAACAGCAGTGTCGCCTTCGGCCTCCAACGCAACACATCCTGGGATAGCGCCAGCCGAGAGCAATCGGTGCTCTCGGGCCCAGTCCTCCCAGTCGACTCCACAAGTATGGAGCCCCAACAACCGCACAGCCCCCTGAAAAGTCGAGGTGATCCCCCCTCGACATACCCTGTATAGAAAGCGTTGTTTTTTGTTGGCTATTCCCCTTTCCTTGCAATTTTCCCTTTGATTTCCCACACAGTTTCTCCGGGAGGTGCATTGACCTGCGCCCCCCTTATAAATACCTCACCCTCCTGATCCGCACAAAAGCTCTTCAGCCCCCCTGCGACCGATCTCTTCTTATATCCCCCCGGTTGATTTATTCCTTATAAATTCTTTCCGTCATTTAATGTCTTATTGAAGCGCAACTTGCCTTGCGCTGCTGTTGATACCGATTTAGTCGATATATCTCGCACATATTCAGTTAATGTAACATAGAGCCATCCATCAATAGGACATGCAATTCATCTCAGAATCTCAGCTTTCCAGTAAGCCCATTTACCGAGATATCAAAAGGGCACATGGGGTAGGGGTATTACCTAGTCAGCACTGCCTCTTTCAACAGAGCGAATTCCTTCCACCAGCCCCTCACTGGTCTCTGTTTGTCAGAACCTGCTCTTCCCCTTCAACCTCTCCAAACTCACCTGCCAAAGATAAACTTGTCGTTGGGACCTCCTGCTCACTCCGCGATCTGACGATAAACATCACTGCAAGTGGCCTCGAGACACTCATCTTTGTATTGGTGCATACGCTCATTGAAGACAGCCCCGTTGACTCTGGGAAGCCCTACCAGGTTAAGTCTGTCTTCGAGAAGCTTCATCCTCTGCACAAGAACCTCACTGGAACTGTTAGACTTGTCTTCAATAGCACAATTGGATTTGCACCTACGTCTTTTCATCTATCATCTCAACTGTACGCGCCACTGCTCGCGTGTGTCTTAGCATAGCCCATCGGCAATTGATGTAATCTCCGACTCACCTTGCACCACTTCATCCTCGATCCGGGCAACCCACGACGGTACAACATCCACAGCCCGTGATCTCAAAGAAAGAAGGAGCTCGCGTGCATACGCCGCAGCGGTCAAGGCAGCATATTTCCGCCAGTGCTCATTATCATGCGAGTCCGCATAATCCCCAATGCCACGAATGACCAGGCAAGGCAGGTTATTCATCACCCCGGCAGCTTCCCTGTCGAAGCACAGAACCTTCAGCTCTGGATTGTGGGCGTAAAAGTCCCGCGTGGCAGCATCCTTGATCACGGGATTCCCCGATGCAATCGTTCCGTGGTGCACGGCTATCACCCGCCGACTACTTCGCTGTGGCCTCGACACAGTCTGCGTGACATCGCACCCCTCACAGACCTTTCCCTCCTCATGCTGATACTCAGCACGGTACAAATCATCCCGCTGCGGTCGCTGATACCCCGACATATCCTCCATGAGCCGAATATGCTCTGCGACAAAATCCGGCTTCCTGGGATCTTTATACCGCCGCCGCAGATCCCCAACGACCGAGAGCAGCTTGTCCGGCGGAGCATTCAACTGCCCCGTCAGCTTGAACCGACCGTCGGGCAGACGTTTACCCAGATCATACTGAATGACACCCCCGAGTGTCCCATGCGGCGTACTGACCACCACATCGCCCAGCCGGATATCCGTCTCCGCTGTCGGCGCTCCGCCTCCGATTCCTACAAGCAATGCAAATCGTAGACGTGGAAACGTCCTCACCATGTCTCTCGCCACGCGCGAGGTAGACTCGGTACCGTACCGGCCGGCCGGTAGACAGCTCACAACGACCCCATGGTTTCGGATTCTACCGAAGGCGTAGGTGTTGTCGTCGCCGTCTGGGAGGGTCTCGGGGCCGGCGTACACTTCATCTAGCATGCGGCAGCCGCATTCGTATTCTTCCTCCAAGGCGCATATCCAGCCTACTGTGTAGTAGTTCAGTGAGGCTTGGTTCGCGAGTTTGGTTCGAACGCGCCTCTCCGGGGAGATGGGGGGTGGAGATGTCTTTCGCTTCAACATATTCCCTTTCTCCTGTAGAGCGTCCTCTAATTCCTATTCCTTGTCAGCAGTCAGATCAAATACTCTTATGGTAAGCTATTTTCTTCGTCAGTTGGATCTAGGAGTCAAGTGCACTTTTCACACACTCACATGATTTATTGCGTATCGTCTGACTATACGTCCCTGCAGAAACGGTTTGAGTCGTCCCAACTTCCGAGCGCAGTGCTCCGGGCGCGAGTGTAAGTTATAGGACCCGCCAGAAGCCATAGCAGCTTCAAATGAGGTGCCGCACGCAGAAGGGAGCTAGCGGCCGGCGCTTAATGCAACAATCGCATTGGCGCCCGGAGGCCGGGTGAATAGCAGCACCTGGCAGGTTGTTTCATGCATGCGTGGCGTCTAACACGTCACCCTCCCTGTGCGGGCTCAGCCTCGCTCCTACTTGTTCAGGCGGCAAGGCTGAGAAAGGGCTGCTACAGAATTCCGAGTGAACACACATACATGCCTTCCGGTGTCTGAGACTCGAGAAAATCATGCGGAAATTTAAACTCTGGCCAGGGCATAGAAGCCGAGATCCTTATCTATCAAACTCCTAATATCGATGATATAGGCTCGTGCAGACTACCTCGACCCAGATTGGTCTAAACTTGGGATTTAGGGGGTCATAGAAGGAAGGTAAGTTTGAATTCTCAATACGGAGCATAACAATCCATGTTTTGCGCAACCACCGAGCTTTTATGAAGCACAAGCCTGCAGGAAATGACTGGTCGAGTTCCGTTCCTTACACTCAGGCTCTTTCACCTGTCGCGGGTGGAACGACCATCAGAGCTCAGCGAGAATAACAATGCAGGGTGAATGCCTTTTCTTAATGAATCTGCTTCGAAGCTAAGATATCCATGGGGATGAAAAACGCTCAAGTGATTTCATCGTTGTCGCACTCCGACCCCAGGCCACAGACTAGGCACCGGACAACCGCCGCATCGGAAGTTCTCACTTAGAAGCACGGAAGTTCGCCGCGCTCGAAGCGATACACCATGCCCTGGATCGGGTCCCAAGTCCAATAGACATTGTACTTGGACTCGTACACCCGGCCACCGCCTTGCTTGACGACCTGGTATTTTTGTACCGCGTGGTACTCCTGCTCGAAGGGCGGGATGGACGTCCAATGTTGATCCTCATTGTGGACGCTCGACAGCTGTTACTTCTGCCCGCTGGTCAACCCCACCCCCGTGCCCTTGAGGTTGTTGTGTCCCTTGACGGTCACAATACCCGTCTCTTGGTCGGTCCAGACCGCCCAATGGTCATTGTAGGTGGTTGCAAATTCTACTAGTTCTGAATCCGGGGAGCATGGGGGGATTGGCATGGTGAATGGCCAGGAGCCCTGATGCTTGTTCGGTGGAACTCGTACTTCGAGAGGGACCACGGCGGGGATAGCAAGAGTACAGGCGACGAAGAGAGGGAAGAGAGCAGTCTTGCAGTGCATTGTAATGGAAATATACGACGTATTTGATACTGTTTGGTGTTTGGTTCAGTTCTTTTGTGCTGGGTGGGAAGCTGTCGTCGGTAGTCAAAATGAGCAGAAGCATCTGCCATTAAATATCTGCGCACCTGCGTAAATTTGCCATCTTATCGCATCACTTGAGAAGAGCATACATAGTAGACTCCCCATCAACGCTCGTAACAGTTGAGTGGTCGTTGACGCCAGCGAAGAGGACGTATTGCAGCGGATTCGTACATGGAACATAGGTTTATCGTTCTACCTTTTTTTTGATGCCTTCAAACAATAGATAGGTCAACTGACATTTGATAGCGATAGCCGGCTGGACAGTTGAACCTTGGGTCATAAATTAACCTTAATGTCTATGTGAGACTACCCTGACAAGGATATACCACCATTACCCAATAAGGCGCAAGTACATGTATAATAAAACCTTGAATGTAGGATGACAAGGCCTGTCCCAACGAGCCACATATCTTGTGTTGTGTTAAAACGTTCCAAGTCATTATTTCTAATCTCCAAGCTATGATACAGATTCAGTGCATACGCCTACGCCTCCTCGCCCTCGCCCTCCTCGGCCGCCTGAATCCGCGCCATATAGTATTCCTTCTCATCGCCGGTCACCTTATACCCGTTCCAGCGTCTGGCCCACTTGACCATATCGTCCCTCGAACACTCAGCCGTGAAATACTCCCCCCGCCCGAGCACCGTGAACTGCGCGTTCGACTCGCGCTACTTGACCGCGAGCCCGCGCGAATCGAAGAACACGCCTCTCGGGGCGCCGTTCCATCGGATATACCCGAGGTGATAGCCTTTGATGTGCAGGAAGACCAGATCGTCGTGTCTGTTGAGGGCTGAGCACTAGCCCGTGAGCTTAGGACCGGAGTTGTTGGGGCTCCTTTTTCTGCTATCCTCGGAGTGTTGCTTGACTAAAATTCCTGATCAGCCGATTTGCCCTCCTTTGTCAATTGTGCAGATCTGCTTGAGCCTACGGATCCAGGAGACTCCCCGGCCGAGGTAATCTCCGAGGTCGGTGCTGTATTCAGTCATTGCTGCGATAAGAGAGGCTACAGCAGAGGCTGGCTCAGCTGTGACGCTCGCAAACATGACTCGTGAGGGGCGCGGTGAATGCGAGCGGGTCACTCGCTGGGGTCTATTACGGCGCTTGTCGATGCCGATTCTAGGGCACGATCGGTGCCTAGTAGTTTGTGGACCGCGCCGCACCGCCAGTTCAGAACCTCTTCTACTATATCCATTCGGCACGGGCCCCCTCGTGTGGCCTTCCATGAGTGAAAATACAACTGTTGGTTTCTGCAGCTGAAAGATGGGATTTGTAGCAATCATCATGGCGGAGTATTAGCGGGTTCTTACCTCCTTCTTGTCCGTAGTTCTTCTCAAAAAGGAATTCATTTGCAGTCCTGCCGGCATGCCATTAGTCGGTTGTACGTGGCGTATCTATGAGTGCTGAAGACACTACTGAACAAACTAAAAGAGACAGGATACAGTGGGCTATAGCTTCACCCACATGCTCTGTATGATGCATGTCATGAATATGCAACAATAAGTTATATGGATCATTGCTAGATTCGACTTACCGAACCATCATGTAAAATATATGTCAGCAGCGGATATGACAACCATCACCAGGTAATCCAGAGAGCAAAATGCGCCTTGTCTAGGCCAACAGGAACACGGAAACAAACCGAGCAAAACATGCTTTACCAGAATTGTTCCATCATCTGCCATAACGAACAAAGTCAACCAGATATTACGATAGTTCCAGAGCTTCGCAAGACATTCAGTAGAATATTCTTTGTATACAAAGTCACTAATCAAAACAACAGCGTTAGTGGTGTAGCGGTTAGCATTGTTGCCTTCCAAGCAATAGATCGGGGTTCGACTCCCCGCTGACGCAATTTCTTTTTCGCTTTTCATTTTCTAACGGCACACGATCCAGCCAAGAGACTACAGTGGGTTGCTGTTATCTCTTATCTTCTCTTTTTGCGGTGCAAGGTCGTGCGGACTTTCGCATCTCCGCTTCACCATGATCAACACTGGTGCTTGTTATTACTCTCGGAAGGAATGGCAATCGTAATGCTCAGGGTGTCTGCAAGTCGATCATTTAGCCCCACATAATACCAATACATAGATAGGTGCTTAGAGCACCAGTGATTAAGTTAGTACTCTGGAAGTTTAGGGACAAATTGCGAACAAAGGCCACATGAAAAGTTACTTCAGATTTTCCCCAAGCCATGCTGTCATATAAGAGATTGCAAGTCCCCCAAGAGATTGTACTAGTGGCTGACACCAACACCTTGTAGTTGAGTCGCCAATGAGACCAATCTCTCCGAGTGCTGACTCAAATAGCGACCTGTTTCATCTGCGGTTTCCTTCACACTTCGAAAGTCGTTCGGTCCCGTGTCTTGCACCGGCCCTATCTCAAACCGATTGTACTTATCCTCATATCCCATATAGTGAAGTTTGTTCTTGATATATCGTTCGTTGTCTTCGAGCATATCGATAACCTGGAAAATGGTCAGCCGCTCAGCTTGGGGTCAAGTATAGAACAAACAAGTGTTACCTCGTCGGGTGACCTATCGATTGTACCTTGATGCAAATGTTAGTGATGTAGTAGAAATATGCATATCGGATAAGATAATACCAATGGATGCAAGATGTCTCAGCTGACCGAGCAGTTTCCAAGGGAGGACTAAGTCACTCAAAGAGGGAATCATGAGGTCGTGCAGCTTGCCAAGCCTGAGGAGATCAGGTATATCGCTGGGCGGTACGCCCCCAGTTCCAATACTCAAGATCAGTCCGATTGTCTGGTCGCTCCACTGTTCCCTTACCTCCTTGAGAGCATCGAGAATGGGATTGCGAAGGCCACAAGGATATAAGTCATCAGAAAACGCAGTGGGACCATCGGATGTTTCAATCGAAACTTCATCAAGCTGACCCCGGGCTGACAGAAGAGCAACCATCGCATCAGAGATACGGATCGGGACGGTATCCTGATCGTTACTGCAGGGATATGTCCGGAAACAATATGGTTTACGGTCCGATTGGACAGCGAATACGAACCTGCACCGTCAGCAAAACTCTCAGATGATTTGGAAGAGATAGAGCCCTTACGTCTTGCCTCTGTCTGTGATATCGTCTTCAAGCAGCAGAGCAAACGGAGTATGACAGTATCTCTCGACGATACTGTCGGCCACTTCCTGTAGCTTGTTCCTATCGAAAAGAGGACCGCCCCAGCTTTCACGCAAGATACAAGTTGAGAGAGTGCGATATTCAAGTAGACATTGTGCGAGTGTTAGACGAAGACGACCAAGAAGTAACGCAATGACACTGTTTGTCTGTCAGTTGTATAGTGTCAGCAGATGCAATCGATAGGATTCCTTACCCGCCAATACCACAACCGGTGATGATATGGAAATAGTCACACGGGCAAATATCGCCGGAATTTGATTCTTCCCCATGAAGCTGTGGAATCCCCTTCAAGATATTGGCCAAGATCAGAAGTTCACTGTAGCCGAGAATCCCCCCTCCGTCTGAAGAGTTTTATGGTTATTGTGCTGAAACTCGCCCACAATAATTATAGAGTAAGGGCTTCCGGACTTACCCAACGAGAGCACGCGCCAGGCCATATTGAGAATCGCAGGACTGGCAATGCGATGGACTTCCCTATCTCTATCGATGGAAATATGTAGTGGAAATGGCAACTATAAAACAACAGTCAAGCCGATACGTCACCAATTACATAATCCATTGTCACCAAAGGGCTGTATCACATGTCCCTTCCACTTGCAACCCTAAACTATCGTCCAACCTTGGGACCATTTGTGGCTTCCACTCGGAACATGCTAGCTCTAGACATGATCTATTATTGTCAACCATATATGTTCGGGTCGAGATCTCGGTTTCGGCGCAATGTTCCTTTGTTCCCCGTATCGTTTCCCTTGGCGTCGACCGCATTCTTTTCCTACTTTGTCGTGATGCTGTAGCTCCACCTACCTCTTACTCTACCCCATTGTGCTACCAGCTTATACTAGCTCCTCGTATGGGGACTATGAGAGTGCAGTTATTTGCCAATTTGCTTTCTGGGTAGACAAAAACGACATCGAGAAAGTTAATACTCGAATGAACTATATCTCCATTCTGATGGCTTTGTGAAGTTCATGGTAAGTTCTCGTAAATCGACGCTCCATGTATGCGATTCTGTGAGATCCTAACACCATGCACATGACGGGTCTGTTTCAGTGAGAGGGTTATAAACCCGAGGAAAGGCAAAGTACGATACATTGATCTAGCATCTTTAAACCCACACTAGGGTAGGTGATACCGGGCCACTCGATGCCACAATCTGCACAATGTCACACCACAATCTACGGGCAGAAAAGAACTGCCTTTCACTTGGTACGACTCTTTGCTTCACTTGCCCAAGTGAAACTAACAACCCTGGGGCTTAGATGGGGTGGGTGTGCGCAGCCTCTCCTCTCTCCTTATCCTTGAGGAAATAGTGCGTCAATATAACATTGCAAACGGGCTTGCGGCAGATGACCAGCCTCCAGGCAATGTGTTTCATGTCGCTTTTGGGACCAGCGGCGGAGGGTAAGTTGAGGAAGGGAAATGGAGATCAATCGGGCTGTCCGCATCTCACAAAGTATAGCCTAAGCGCGTTGATGATCAAGAAATATGCCATGCCTATGCAGGCATGCATCAATAGCCTCCGTGGCGTCTCTAACACCGTGTTCCGACGACGTGCAGCTTGGCCAAATCTCGATCTTGGTGCTCTCACCGGTGGACTTTTCGCCGGGTCACGTTTCAGTCAGGGACTGCTTCGGCAACAAATCCAGCTGATCACAGGCACCCGCACACAGATGCAGAACCCTTCTTCCAATTGCAACTGGTAGGTACTTCGGTCGGTGGGCAGGTGTATCCTCACACAACACATACTGAGGTCGTCCATATTTAGCTACGTGGTTTGCCGTCGTTCGAACAGCGCTGGGAGAATCATTGACAATCGAGCGGTGTGCTTTGCCTGTTTTGCAAATGGACAAGCCAATCGTCTTGTGTGGGAAGCCGCTTTGGCCACCAGCGCTGCATCCACCTACTTTCCTCCCGCACAACTGGGACCCCTGGAGTACTACATCGATGGTGGGTTGGGCTTCAACAACCCGATTCTGACGTTTTCGAAACAGAAATCGTACATGGGTATTGGAGACCGCACGTCGGCATGCATTATTAGCATTGGAACTGGGGAGCCAACACCCTCCAAAATCTGACGGCGCGAAATAGTTGGTGGCGGTTCTGGGACAGGCTTACTATCATAAACGTGTTTCAAAATGCCCTTGCCCTTGCAACCGACATCAAGAATGACCATGATGCTTTTGAAGAAATTGCTGGGTTGTCATCGAATTGGTCCTATTTCCGGTTCAACTGCGGCGGGGGACTTGCAGATATCCCTCTTGATCAAGCGAGCCAGTTGCCAACCATCGAGAACCTGACCAGGGCTTACCTTGCGAAACCCCAAACGCAGGCGACGATCCAAGATGCTGTACGCGCAATGGCCTATCCCGGTAGGTAGTTAAATGGTGAAGAACATTATTCTAAGTTCAGTTACGTGCTTGATTTACTGGTCTACTATCCTCTACCAACCCGCCATCCTGCATCCTAAAGCTATGGTTACAGCTTTGTTCAGATCAATATCCATTCTTCTCGTTGGCGGATTGTACATCTTTCTTTCCAAGCAAAGTCATAACGCTGAAATTTGAGTTAGTATATTAGGATGGAGGTAATATAAACTCCACGTGCTACGGAATCTGTTTCTCAGGTGGTTGTCAAGTTCGGGTTACTACCAAGTGGATTATTTCTCCACTTGAAACTTTGATGAAGTATATTCTACTCAATACAGCTGATCAAAAAGCCCCATAACATCGATCCCCAACCACTGCACATCATCCAGCGCATAGCTCGGATCATCGAGCAGCGGAAAGGAGATGGGGTCGAACGAGGCCGGACTCCAGGACTGGACGGGCGCCGTCGGATCGAGCTCGGTCTCCCGGGGCCGATCGACATTCATTGACGGATTGCTAACCGGGACACGCAGGGCGGCTGTTGACACCAGAGCCGTATTATCTGTGATGACGGGTGCGGTTACTGTATTCTCAACGCACCTTGGGGCGCGGATAGTCTCGCTGCCCCTCTGCGTCTTGCCATTCCTGACATCCGACACGTACTGCCGGGCGAGGTGGGCGAACTCGGCCACCAGGGAGCCCGGAAGCGCCCCCTTGCTGGCGTACTCGATGCGGCTGAAGTGCCCGCCGGCCATGTCGAGGAGGGCGAGACTCAGGCCGGTTTCGGCGTGAGTGGGGTTGTGCACGACGAGGTCGAAGAGGATCATGAGGGCGGAGAGCGGGAGGACGGCCAGAATCCTACAGTTATTGTATTTGTGTCATTGCCACACATCTAGAAAAACGGTCACAAAAGAGAACTCACCAGACAGGCGTCGAAGGCGCGACCTCGATAAAGGCCGTTAGTTCAAGAACACTTCTCGCCGTGCGTAACAGCTCGCGCTTCAAGACGTCCTGCTGCGACGCCGCGACGCGAGCAGTCCCTACATGGAGGATGGTCCACGATAGAGTGAGAAGAGCGTGGAAGTACAGATAATGCGTGAGTAAGGCAATCTTAAGAGCCAATGGCTCGCGCAGAAGACGAGGTTTCGGGACCTCGCCCGGCCGGAATCGAGAGGGAATCGCAAGACGCCAGGACTCTAGCTCCGAGCGTAGACTGTTCACGGTGGCGTTGTATGTCTGCAAGGGCTGGCTCACGGCGCTGACGTTGAAGAGGGACTGATGGACCTTTGAGACTAGACGGCCGTACTTGATGAAGCAGAAGAACCAGTCGTAGTCCCCAAAGGTAGACTCTAGCACGTCTGGAATGGCACAGCTGATGTTGGAGTCATCGATGACCTTGTTTGGCGAGTGTCAGTAAAGAGGAGCTAGGTAGATCGATTGGCATGGAATGACTGACGGAGTTCCTTGCCGTGCCAAAGCATGAAGTCTTTTCAAGATAGTAAAGGACCCAGAATGTGCGTCGGTGAGCCGTTTCTTGCACCCCATTCGAGCGATGGTAGCCGAGTGCCTGCGCCATCATGCTAGCTTCTGACAACATCAGGGGTTCGAATTGAAAGGCAGACACGGTGGATGAAAAGATTGCCTGCCGTCAACTTTAGAAAGAGGGGGATACTCGATCATACGAAGTGTCATACCATAGCCATGAGCGCCTAGGGTTCATGTGAGTGTCATCCTTCCCTCGGGATAAAAAGCAGAGGTGCAAACCTGAACGGCAGTCAATGAACCGCGACCGAACACCAAGTCTGGAAAATACGACAGTGACCGCTCGAAGTATTGCCAGGCCTCACCCACTCCAACCTCAAAGCTGCCCCCCTCGTTATTCTGGCATCCAATGGCAACAATCGCGTAGAATAATGCCGCCCAAGCGCGGTCAGCAGCAAGCAGATGGGGCAGGTCCTCGGCCGTGGCTTTCTGACGGAATGTGTCGGGAGACAGAAACGGGTAGACTGGGTGGACGGCTTCAAAATAGGCTACTCTTCATCAATACTTTGCAGGAGGACTAATGGAAAAAGGTACCAAGATACCGGAGATATGAGCTTGAATGCTGGCCCAATCAGGAAACTCGTGGCTCTGGCTTAACGAGTGCCGCCGCTGGATATAAGACTGCGGAATGGCACAGGCGGTTTTGATCTTCGTTGAAACGAGTGCGCGGATCTGCTCGAGTAGTTGGTCTAGTCGGTTATGCCCCAGTCTTTCATTGATCGCCTTGACTCGTTTGGCGGGGAAGAACGAGATATTGGGATTGAACCCGGAGATCGTGGTGAGCTCCAAGAGCACGATTAGTTTCGGGTGTTCGGTCATCTCGCGGTTATGCTCATGCTACCTACCTGGTCTGGATGGCCCGAGTCTCGCAAGTGACGAGACGCTTGTCGATTCACCAGAAGAGAGTCCATATACAGGGCGCCGGTGCTCGAGGACAACGAGGTGGTATCAGTATCCGCAAGAGGTGTCAATGCTAGTGCACACCATCAGCCTTTTGAATCTCATGATTATGATTAATTCAACACGGACTACTCCGTACCTTCCAATTCATACTTTCGCTTGCGGGGCCTTTTCACCGGCGTAAAGGAACAGGGGCGCCCTTGCGACTGCAGCAGCATATTAATACCGGCCCATGAGGGCTACAGGGATGGGGGCCTGACTTACCAGGCAGAGATCGCAGGTGGCATTGGTGCCTGACAGACCTGGCAAAAGTCAGCCAAAGCGGAAGAAGACACTCCACAGAGTCCACACTCACTGCATCGCGTTTTTCGGGTCCGACAGGCGTCACACGCCTTGTGCAGCGCGGCAGAGCTTGATGCAGCCGCTGACATCATCTCCATGGCACAAAGATGGGGAGTCGAGGTGGAAGGAGACGAAGAGAAAAAGGCTGCTGCTCTCAGCATTGGCAGTATCGGCCCCTTATTGCGTTGCTGTGTTTACCGCCGACGAGCTCCGACGCCCCGCGCCGGCCGGCTGGCCCACGCTGGCCCACGCTGGCCCTAACTTCCGCTCCGATCGCCCCCGACGCTAGTCGCGCGTCGGCGCCGTCTATCATCATGTCTGCTACTAGGCTGGGCTGCATGTTTTGCCCAGCAGAATGAGTGAAAAACCCCTTTCATCACATGCTGATGAGGTAGTGCTGTGGTGAATGCGATATAAATCGTCATGGAGCCTGTTATTCGCAACACACAGCTACCTTCGCGAATCTTGTTCCTCGGTCATCCTACCAACCGAGCGAGATTCTGTGCCCTAATTCCTTCTGTCGCCCTTCACCATGCTCGACCCAGCTTCAATCCCCGAATTGCCTGAACTGCCTGAGCAGGCTACCCACACCAGCAGGTCTACGTCGACCTCGTCCAGTGATCGGACAGCCGACGTGGCAGATGAAGCCGAACCGATGCAGATATCTCCAGAGAATCAGCATCAAATCCTCAAATTGGCAAGACGCTTCACGCAAGACTCGGTACATGAGTGGCCTCACGGCTCCTCTATCAATCCATTTACGGATGCAGAGGATACGTGCCTGGATCCCAACTCTCCCAAGTTCAGCGCCAAGCGATGGGTCCAGGCCTTGATTGAATTGACCTCGCAGGATCCCGAGCGGTACCCCAAGCGTAGAGCAGGCGTATCATACCGTCATCTCAGCGTGGGTGGATACGGGGGCGGCGCTGCTTACCAGCCCACTGTTGCGAACGTCGTGCTGCAGGGGCTGAGGGATTTGATGGTTCGTTTGGTTCCCGGAAGAAGACGCGAGGTGCAGATTTTAAGAGACCACGATGGCATTGTCCGCAGCGGCGAGATGCTCCTTGTCCTGGGGAAACCAGGAAGGTTCGTACTATCAAATCTCACGAGTAACAGCTTGATTGGCTTTGACTGACTATATTTCGTATCTGCAGTGGCGTATCCACCCTCTTGAAGACAATCGCAGGCCATACCAATGGACTATCGGTGGCGGATTCCACAGAGCTCAGCTATGAAGGTAGGTCAGACCACATCACATGTCGAGTGGGAGCTGACCGAAAGTCCCCTTGCGACCAGGCATTCCATGGAAGACAATGCATCGCAAATTTCGTGGGGATGTGATCTACCAGGCCGAGACGGACGTCCACTTCCCTCATCTCACGGTCGGACAGACGCTGTTGTACGCCGCTCTGGCCAAAACCCCTCGGAACCGGCTGCCAGGTGTATCCCGAGAGACTTATGCAACTCATCTCCGCGATGTGGTTATGGCTGTGTTTGGCATCTCGCACACCGTCAACACTAAAGTCGGCGACGACTTCATCCGCGGAGTGAGTGGTGGAGAAAGGAAGCGTGTCAGCATTGCGGAAACCTGTCTGACACAGAGCTGTATCCAATGCTGGGACAACAGCTCCCGCGGGCTGGACAGCGCCACAGCGCTGCGATTCATTCAAACCGTCAGGCTGGGCGTCAAGATGACCGGTACTGCCGCTGTGGTTGCTCTGTACCAGGCTTCGCAACAGGCCTACGATGTGTGTCTTTACCTCCTCAAGGTCCTGCGTGGGAATCGTCAAGCTGACCACCGCAATGTATGTGCTGTGAATAGTGCTTTGACAAGGTGACAGTGCTCTATGAAGGTCGGCAAATCTACTTCGGCCCAGTAGATCGAGCAAAACAGTACTTCGTCGACATGGGCTACCTTTGCCCCGATCGACAAACGACAGGAGACTTCCTTACCTCATTGACCAACCCGGTCGAACGAATCATTCGGCCAGGCTTTGAAGCTCGAGTGCCCAGAACACCCGATGAATTCGCCCAAGCCTGGAAACAGAGCCAGCTGAGAACAGAGCTGTGCAAGGAGATTGACCACTTCAACCAACAGCATGACGCAGAGGTTGTTTTTGAGAAGTTCGCAGCCTCCAAGAAGGCGGAAAGATCACGGTTGATGTAAGAAGCGTCACCAACTAGACACAAAATCGCTCGAAGCTTAGACTGTGCAGGACCCCGAGTTCACCTTATACCATATCGATTCCCCAGCAAGTCTTACTGTGCATACGACGAGGCTACCGCAGAGTCTTGGGCGACTCCACCTTCTTTTTCG